TATTCTCTTTAGGTTTTCGTTGTGGATATTTTTTAATAGCATGTAAATATTCTTTTAATATTTTCTTGCTAATTTTAATATCTTTGGAGGCTCTCTTTTTGTTTTCTTTAATTGATCTAGTAGATTTTTTGTCTGATTCGATAGATTTTTTATTCAATCCATTAGGTTTTTTGTTTATCTCGAGCTCAGATTTATTTTGTTTATCACGTTGGATGCCATCTTGAGCGTTAGCGAGAGATGTGGCCAACGTGTGTCTCTTTATTACTTTTGTGTCGTGGGGAATCATTTTTTGTTCACCACGTTGGGCGCCATCACAGGGTTTTTTCTTGCTTTTAAGAGGTGTATCCCTAGCCTTTCGAGCGAGGTGACTAGGTGCGACAGTTGTGGGTGTGCTTGTGTTCTTGTCACGTGATACTGGGGTAGACTCTTCTTTTTTCAAGGTGCAAGAGGGATTTCCTGGAACAGAGTTAAGGTTTAACCCTGATAACCCTTGTGATTGGTCCGGGAGGATATCTTGATATGATATTGGTTTCCCGTTTATTCGAGCTATTTTTTTATTTCTATCTTTTGAGATGTTTAATCTATCCTGATCTATTTCTGATAAGAGCATATAGGCTTGGTCTCCTTTAAGAATTGATATTTTAAGTGTTGCTTTTATATCTTCTACTTGGAATATTGCTTTTACTTGTCCAAGGTTTTCTATTGTTTGTCCTCCTGGTAGAATAGCAGTTGATTTCTTTGTGATGTCTATTTTTTCTAGTAATCCTAATTCTTTTGCCATATCTGATCCTATGACATTTGCACTTGCTCCTTCATCTAGTAATACTAGTATTGGTTTGTTGTTTAATAGCGCTATAAATTGGTATTGCTTCTTTCCTTTTGGTCTAAGACTTTGCCATTTAGCTTCTTTTGGAAATTTGTAGGTTTTGAGAAGATAGTTGTATTCATTTTGTTCGAATGCTTTCTTTATCATTTCTTTATTTGTAGGTTTGGCAGAGAACTTTTGATACTTTTGATAAATAATAGGATCTTTATTAAGTATTTTAGAGTTAATACATTTGATATTATTGATATTTTGTATTTTGGTAATACTAATTGTGTTTATGTTCTCTCTAGTGTAGCCTTTAGAAAGTTTCTTTGGGGTTTTCTCTCGAACACTAGGCGAGTCCCCTATTCGAAAGAATTAACTTTCTTCTGAATGGTTTTATGAAGGTTATTTGCAGTTATAACTTCTTCATCATCAGATTCTTCAGTTTCTTCTTCAGATTTTGAATAGTATTCTTCTTCACTTTCTTCTTCATTTCCTTCGTAATGTCGGAATTTCTTTTTGGTGAATTTTCCTTTATATAGTTTTCCTTTTCCTTTGTTATAAGGTTTCTTTGAGAAGTTTCCTTTTTTAAATCTTCTTATCGCCATTGGTACCGTTCTTCTTCCTACTTTCTTTCCATTCATGTGTGTTTCATTATTTCGAGTACATCCTGGGTGATGTCTTGGATATGGTTTTCCACATTGTGAGCAAAATCTTTTCTTTTTGAGTTTCCAATTATTAACGTTGTTAAAGGAGTCTCTTTTAGTGTTTGAGTAGCAATTTCTGGCAAAATGTCCTGGTTTTCCACATTTAAAGCAGTTTCCTTTAGGTTTGTCACTTTGTAAAGTATCAATATTT